AAATGTCCATAGTAATCAAAGTGATCTATAGATTCAATGCAGTAACTATCAAAATTCCAGTGAGATTTTTTTACAGAAATCGAAAAGGCAATTCTTAAATTCATATGAGACTACAAAGGAATCCAAATGTCCAAATCAAACCTGAGAAAATAGAACAAAGCTGGAGGCATTGCACTTTCTGATTTCATATTTTATTACAAAGCTACAGTAGTCAAATACGATGGTACTGACAAAAGAACATATGTATAGACCAATGGAACATAATAGAGAAATAAATCCACACATATATGGTTAACTGATCTTCAACAACAGTGCCAAAAATACAAAATAGAGAAAAGATGGCCTCTTCAATAAATGATGTTGGGAAAACTAGACAGCCACATTCAAAAGAATAAAATTTTTTTCTATGGCTCCCATACCGTATACCCTACACATAAATCAACTCAAAATTAAAGACTTAAATGTAAGACCTGAAACTGTAGAACTCCTAGAAGAAATCATAGAGAAAAAGATTGACATTGGTCTTGGCAATATTTTTTTTGTTATGTCACCAAAATTATAGGCAACAAATACAAAAATAAACGAGTGAGGCTACATCAACTAGGCTTCTGCAAAGCAATGAAAAAATCAACTAAACAAAAAGGGAATCTATGGAATGGGACAAATATTTGATATAAACCAGGTATCTAGTAAGGGATTAATAGCTAAAATATATAATGAGGGGCGCCTGGGTGGCTCAGTCGTTAAGCGTCTGCCTTCAGCTCAGGTCATGATCCCAGGGTTCTGGGATCGAGCTCCGCATCAGGCTCCCTGCTCCACGGGAGGCCTGCTTCTCCATCTCCCACTCTCCCTGCTTGTTTCCCTCTCTCTCTGTGTCTCTCTCTGTCAAATAAATAAATAAAATCTTTAAAATTAAAAAAAATAAAATATATAATGAATTTCTACAACTCAATAACAAAACACGCCCACCAATAACCTGATTTTTTTTAAAAAAAACTAAGGACTGAACTAGACATTTCTCCAAAGATATGTAAACAACCAACAAATATATGAAAAGATGCTCATCATCACTAACTATCTAGGAACTGCAAATCAAAACCACAATGAGATATTACCTCACACCTGTTGGGATGCCTATTATCAAAGAGACAGAAACCAAAAAGTATTGGTGAGGATGTGGAGAAATCGGAGTCTTCCTTCACTGTTGTTGAGAATTCAAAATGGTACAGCTTCAATGGAAAACAGTATGAAAGTTCCTTAAAAAACTAAAAATATAACCACTGTATGATTCAGCAATCCCACTTCTGAGTATTTAACTAAAATAATTGAAATTGGGATCTTGAAGATATATTAGCACTCCCATGTTTACTGCAGCACTACTTACAATAGCCAACATGTGGAAACAACCTAAATGTCCATCAATAGATGAACAGATAAAGACAATGCGATATATACCCACAAAGAATTATCATCCACCTTAAAAAAGAAAGAAATCCTGAAATATGTGACAACATGAATGAAAGTTAAAGACATTATCCTAAGTGAAATAAGCCAGTCACAAAAAAGACAAACACTGATTCCACTTCTATCAGATATCTAAAATAGTCACTCATAGAAGCAGAGGCAAGAATGGTTGCCAGGGGCTGAAGGGAGGGATAATTGGGGAGGTGCTAATCAAAGCGTATCTAGTTTGTTATTCAAGACAAATATGTTCTAGAGAACTGCTATACAACATTTTGCCTATAGTTAGTCATACTGTATTGTACATGTAAACATCTATTAAGAAGGTAGATCCCCTCTTAATTTTCTCACCACAATCAGAAAAAAAAAAGTCAATCCTTGCCCTCAATATGTCAGTTGTGGAAGACTAAGTTATGTGAATTCATAAGTAGGCATTCCATTTTTCCTAAAAACGTAGAGCTGATAATCAGTTTCTGTGGCTTTAGGTAGTTTTCACAAACATAGATGTCAGTTGGAAGCACTGTGGTTATAATTGTGTTGATCCCTCTTTAACATATTCCGTCTCTCCCATTCTCTCCTGTTTGTTTTTCTTCAAAACTCCCTTTACTTTACTGACTGCAAGCATTCTTTTCCCATTACTCCTTTAATTTATCTTCTTTACTTCTAAGAAGTTGCTATCTTTAAACTTTCCTACCTATTCCAGGACTTCCTTCCCTGAGAACTTTCCCACAGGTGGAAGACTAACTCATCTCAATTTAATTATCACTCCCTCATGAAGGATGACTGAAGCAATTATACCAAGGTTGGATCCTTGAACCTGACTGGATTGGACAATCTTCTTTGATAATTTTGGATTAAAATACAGAAATCCTAGCACTCTTTAATGTTGATTGTAATAAGTAGATAAGTAACTAGCAAAGAAAGACAGACATTAGAAAAACCTAACTTCCAACCAGGAGCCAGTGGGAGGAGTGGAAGAAAAAGAATCCCTGAAACTGTCAGCTTTCTAGTTCCTGGTGCTAGCCCTTGGAAAGATCTGGTTGAACTTTTAGGTCTTGCATTCTCTGAGAACCTTACGTATCCTTGAGATATTTTCTTAATTGCAACATAGTTGTAGTGAGATTGTGTAATTTTCAGTCAAAAGAACCCTGACTTTGGGTCTTTTGCCTCTTTTCTAGATCTTTTACTTCCCCTCTCTGCCCTTTCTGACATTTTTTTTTGGGGGGAGGGGGTCTGACATAATCCTCTCTGCTGACATTTATTTTCTCTTCCTTCCCTCTTGCCTCTTAATTTCTATTCATGGTTTAAGTTTCTTTTTCTGCTCTGCTTTCTCCTGTCATGGTACTTCTGACCCTTACGTGCCTGATGTTAACATAATTCTCTATAGTTTCTAGGTCCGTTCTCATCTCATTGCTTTTTATCTTTCTTAATCACTATTTCCTACTCTTGAATCTAATGAGGCTTGTACTTATACCTAAGTCTTTGTTTAGGTTTTTTAAGCTCTGCAACTTCCCATCTATATGAGGTAGAAACCTACAGTGTTATATTACAAAAGGAAAAGGAAAGGAAAAATGCTATTTCTAAATATATAAGCATACTACAAAAGGATAAATACTGTATAGTTCTTTCTCAAGACAATTTACTAAAATCCATTTCATTTTTTCTTTTAGTCAAAGAAAATTAAACAATTCTCGAATGCTCTGAGGTCAATGTGTCATGTCTTGACTATAGCATACAGACCAAAATGATCAGCTTGCACTATGTAAGAATCTGGTAAGTAAGGTTTAATCTTGTCCTCAGTTAAAACACCACTACTTAATTGTCGTTCAGTGTTCTTGCAGAAGCTGAAAATATGCATATGAGAGAAATTTCCATGAAGGTAATGTTTATAGTCATTTCTGGGTTAAAAAACAAGATTTATTTCACTTTATGGGAATGTATTTCCTGACATTTGTCCTATTGCATTATGATCAAAGGAATATAGTGCTGAATGTGGGAACTTCTCCAGGAAGGCTGACTGTAAGTGATTATATAAAGTTCTAAGCAAAGGCAATCTCCAATACGCACTGACTGTCAGAAACCTTTTGCATGTTACATATTGCTGAATATAGCAAGTTTCTGCCTACTGGGATTCCACAGGAGATTTTGGATTGTTTTCTAAGTATAAAGATAAGTAGGTATACTGCTGCCAATAAACTTGAACCCAAAGAGATTAACCTGTTCAAATCATATTCACGGATGTTGATTACATTTTCCTTTATAGACAGGTGAGGATTTTGCTGGCAAATATGAAACCAAAGTTGGTTTTCAGATCTATGACCTCTAACCTACCAGGTAAGGAAATTGGCCTGAGTACTCATGGAACTCTCTGAGCCATATTTTGAACCTCTCATATGGGAACCACTGAGTTGAGTATGTTTATATCGCTATTGTTAATGAGGTATAATGTTAGATTTTTTTATGCTCAGTGCTTGCTGAGGAGTGACTTTAGGATATGACATGAAATTATGTACATTTCTTACATTTATTGATTTTCATCCACATAAAAAATAGAAATACTCAAAAAGATTTGCAGTAAGAAGTTTTACACACCAGAATTTTTATGACTTAATCATTAATGCTCAAATATCTTTTCCTCAGAGAGGCTTTCCAATTCAGCTTTTCTACAAGAGAGACTCCCCATTACCATGTATACCCATATCTTACCTTTATGTTCTTTATAGCACATACCATTCCTTTATATGTATAGAGAGGTCATCTGTGTATTGCTCTTTCGTCAGCTAGAACATTAGTTCCACGAAGGTAGGGCTTTTTGTCCTTTTTGTTCCCTACTTTATCATCTAGCCAGAAAAGATTCTAACTTAGTGAGCGAATGAATCATAGCACTAGCTATCATGATTTAAAAAAGAAGAAAAAGAAAAAGAGAAGTAAATTAACTGATTCACAATGGGAAGATTGTTGAATAACCTAGTGTAAATTCATAGCTTAAATCATTAAAACCTATTATACATTTATAGCTTAAGCCATTTTTGTAATGAAGAGATTTTTAAAAAAATTTTTAACATTATGTGAATAAAGCAAGACTTAGAATTGTATATATAACATGATAACAGTGTATATATGTATACTTGGTGGGGACTGAGGAAAAGCATTCCAAAATATTTATAGCACATGTGCTTAGATGGAAAGACATCACATATTTTATTTCTAAATATTTTGCAATTATTATTTACCAACTATGGCCACAAGAATTGAGGTAAAAAGGAAGAAAAGGAAAAAAAATATAGTAGTGAGTGAGAACTGAGTATTACAGATAGATCAGTGATCATGCAAAGGCACTATAAATATGAAGACTTTACTAATAGTAGCACATGATGTTTTTTGAGCACTCACTATGTGTAAGTATTGTTTGAAGTTTGTTTTGGGGGGGTTCAGTATACTTTATTGATGACACATGACAAGCTAGGGCTCCCCAAGCCCCTCCCCTTCTTCAGGGGGTCTAGGATGGAAACTGTAGAGGTCATGAGATTCTCAGTGTGTTAGGGGATGAGTTGGGTCAAGGACTCCCCAGAAGCTGAGGGCCTCTCTCTTCCTCCTGCTCTCTCTGGGGCTGGTGGTCCAGGGCCTCTTACTCCTTGGAGGTCATGTGGACCAAACTCGTTGCCATACCAAGAAATAAGCTTGACAAAGTGGTCATTGAGAGCAATGCCAGCCCCAGCATTGAAGATAAAAGAATGGGTGTCACTGTGAAAGTCACAGGAGACAACCTGGTCCTCAGTGTAGCCCAGGATGCCTTTGAGGGGGTCGTCCAATGCCTGCTTCACTACCTTCTTGATGTCATCATATTTGGCAGCTTTCTCCAGGCAGCAGGTCAGATCCACAACTGACACATTGGGGGTGGGGACATGGAAGGCCATGCCAGTGAGCTTCCCATTCAGCTCAGGGATGACCTTGCCTACAGCTGTGGCAGTGCAGGGATGATGTCCTGGGCAGCCCCTTGGCCACCACTCCACAGCTTCCCAGAGGGGCCATCCATGGTCTTCTGGGTGGCAGTGATGGCCTGGACTGTGGTCATGAGTCCCTCCACAATGCCAAAGTTGTCAGGGATGACCTTGGCCAGAGGGGCCAAGCAGTTGGTGATGCAGAAGTCATTGCTGACAACCTTGAGGGAGTTGTCATACTTCTTGTAGTTCATGCCCATCACTAACATGGCATCAACAGAAAGAGCAGAGATGATGACCCTCTTGGCCCCACCCTTCAAGTGAGCCCCAGCTTTCTTCATGGTGCTAAGACCCCAGTGGACTCTACAACATACTCAACACTAGCATCACACCATTTGATGTTGGTGGGATTCTTGCTCCTGGAAGATGGAGATGGGCTTTCCCTTAATGACAAATTTCCCATTCTCAGCCTTGACTGTGCTGTTGACAGTGCTGTTGACTTTGCTGTGGGAGGAATCATACTGGAACATGTAGACCATCTAGTTGAGGTCAATGAAGGGGTCATTAATGACAATATACACTTTGCCAGAGATAAAAGCAGCCCTGGTGACCAGGTGCCCAATATGGCCAAATCCATTTACTCTGACCTTCACCATGTGTCTCTGGCACTACACCAGAAGATGCAGCTGTCTGTTATTTGGGGAGGAGCAGAGAGCCTAAAGTTCTTTACAGAAATAAAATTGTTTAATTCTCATAATTACTAAAAGAGGTCAGTGTTCTACTTCTTGTTATTATCATCATTGTCATCCCCACTGTCTAGATAGAACTCAGAGAGGTCATACTACTTCCCGCAGTTGTCCAGCCAAGAGGTGGTGGACCTGAGATTTGCTCTGATTCAGGATCTGTAGTCTTAACTTCTGATTAAGAATAAGAAAGGGAGTAACTGTTTCTGAAATAAGAATAAAGAAGAAAATATAATTTCCTTCATGAATTTATATCTTATTTATTTTTTAAAAAACAAAGCAGTGTAAAATGTTTTGTTTACTATTTAAAATGGCTTTTTTGGGTTTAGCCAAACATATAGAGCAATCTTGAGTATTTGGACATGAATGAGCAAATTGCTGCTAGAATGTAAATTGATAAGTTATAGGACACATATTGTGTTATAATTATAGTGTTTTAGTAACATGACAGGCTACTCAGTACAGCAAGTGGCCTTAATAATAACTCAGAACTCTGGATATACACAGCCTCAGGTTGTTGTTGTTTTTTTAAAATATATAAGTTATTAGGACTTTGTATCTAGACACCATTTTGAAGTAGTCTGAAAACTCTTTTTTCAATGTTTAACTTCATAATGTTCACCCTTTTCATAAAATGCAACAAAACACCTATAACTCTATCATTATGTGGTAGAAAGAATATGAGCTTTGGAATTAAACTGGTTTGGGTTTGACTCTAATGAACATTTCACTCTATGATAGGATTCATGATGCACAACATCTAGTATATGATTTATAATGGCAGTTCAGGTGAGAGGTTTGCATATTTCACTAATGCTTAGAGTATATGCCATTGTAGTTCCATAGAACTAAATGATCCAGTTGTCATTTTCAAAATTTAGAATCCTGGGTATTTATTATTTATTAATTATAACAAATGGATTAATTATATAATTATAAAAGTGACTGAAGGCACAGCTGACAGTTGAAAATGCCTTTACAAAACCTATACCTGATTCTGTTCTCAGTAAAAACAGTTCAGGAAATTTAATTTAGGATGCCAGGTGGCACAATAGGTTATACATTAACTTATCCCCTCTGGAAAATTAAATTTGAATTTGGCTCTGGTCACAAATGAAATGAGTCATTTGGTACATGCCACTAAGGATACTCACAAAGCCAAAATGACACTTCATTGAAAAATCACCTGTTAAGAAAAATGTCCGCAGTCACTGGGGACATTTTGAAGAAAAATAAACAAATGCATAAGGCAAAAAGAAAGGAATCTAAGGGGCTACTGTGAATTACAGTCCTGCTGAAAATCTGGAGGAAGGAAAGTGCTATATCACTTATGAGCTTATATTCAGCTACAAATCTAAATTTTAGCCCGTACTTCCTATTTTTTCCCAGTTTCCGGATTGTAGGAGATTATTCACTTATTTCCCAAAGAAAGTTGGCTTTTATCCTTGTCACAGTTTTACCCAAATGTCAGTTTGTATCAAATTATCATGGATTACTGAGCTCACTGCAAGGAACCATCTAATTGTGATTCTAAACCATATGTTTAGCTCTTCCTGTTCCTTTCAGGTAAATAAATAATATAATTATAAGGACTATTCTTTCCTCTTTTAAGGGACTAAGAAAATGTGCAATTGACAGACTTCAGTGATAACCTTAATTTGGAATTAATGCTTATTCCTTTCATTGTTACATTCTTGTCCATGTAATAATCACATAGTAAGTATTTAGACAGATGAGGAGATTAATAATGGTCAAATTCCCAGCACAAACATCAAAGCTGTTTCTTTATATTCACTATTGGAGAAATATAGTACACAAATAGTAAAATCATCTTAGTTCCTATTTTAGGTGTTTTGTACTGGATTCTAAATAGACACTGTCAATTCATTGTTTCAGGGTCTCCACACTTGAGAGGACTCTGCTTTCTGAGTCAGGCCATGCCCATTAATATTCTACTAAAAGTAATATCCAGACCATACCATCTCATGACTGCTTTCAGTCCCCTTTCTAATAGTTGATGCTTTCAAGGTCTCAGTGGTCCTGGGCATATAAACTGCCAGGCCTGCTCATGCTGGGGCAAAAGAAGGTCATCTCTAGCCTACAGTTTTACCTCAGCAGGCAAATTCTTGACCATTCTTCTTTATTACTGGAGAAAGCTTATGATAAAAATTTATACCATGACTAGGCAATGTTAATGACAAAAATTTATTCACTGTATCCCTGGTTTTTATTCCCAACAGTACTTGCTAAGCATAGGTCCTTGCTTCGTTGCTTAGCATCTTATTAGACCTTAAACAAATGGACAAACCTCACTCTAAGTAGAATAAGTCAATAGGGTCATGCAGCAAGATGTACCAAAAAAACCCAAAAAAGCCATAGGATTTGCATATGTTAATTCATTCTTCCTAAGTGCAAATACACAAATGTAGTTTTATGAAAAGAACGCGTTGATCTCTGGCAAATCTTGTAGGAACAATGGCCCTAAATTTATTAATATTCTCTATTCACATAGAAAGAAGTCATTGCAATTGGAATAACTGTAAAAAAAAAAAAGCCCATAATAGCAAATCAAAATAAACATGCACACATGGATATATCCAACTCTTCTATAAAAAAGACAAAAAAAAGAGCTTTATAAGCATAGCTTCTCTTTTATATGGCCTAAATGAAATTTATGTTCTTTGTATTTATTAGTCTTATCTTAGGAACCCTAAAAACTAAAAATTATTGTTGGTTTTGTGTGGTAACATCTAGACTTTTATTCTCTAGAAGGGCACAATATAGACAATAGAGAACTTTCTCTGCAGTTTTCAAGTGTAATGGGTGAAATTGTGATTTTGTTTTGATTATTTTCATTTTTTTAAAATCTGACTTAAAGAGTCTGGCAATTATGGAAACAATGAAAGACAAAAGTTGGCAACATGTATTGTCTCACTTCTAGGAGATAGGTATTGAGTATGAGCCACTGTAAACAAAAATTTTCTTAGGCCTCCGCCTGATTACATATTTCTACCTTAGACATTCTGGAAATAAATGCCACTTTTCAATGATAGGCATAAAAACTTTCAATTCACTGTCTAAAGATTTTTTTCAGCTACCAAATTGAAAAGTAATTGGCAGTTTTATTAAATGTTAAATCCAGCCTTAGTTTTTCAGAGCTTCTTTTGTTACCTTTAAAATAGAATTCCAAATGTTTAACCAGAAGTTTTGAAAACACTTTAAAATCAATAGTGAATAGAAAAGTAGCTCTGTGGGACTTTCAGAATATATTTCCTTAGTCATACCTTTATAGAAACCATTTCTAAGGACTGGAAAGAGTATACTGTGTCTGAGTTGGGATTTGAGGTTAGCATTACAATGAGAATATTACTATGTTATGTTTTCCAATTATTTAAAATTCTCTGAGATTTATAACTCAGTTTGTTGGAAACTTTGAGATATCCTATCAACATTGTTATTTTTAATCAATTTGTTTTAATATACATTTAATTATGACGTATATATAAATGTCATCTGGCTTATTTTAAATACAATTGGGTCATGAAATTCCTTTGCTTAAACTCCTTCAGTAAATCCCTGTTGCTTTTAAGATAAACACACACATATATTTCTTTCCGGGTTCTGGCTTATAAGCACCAAAATGACTTTGACTATTAAAAAAAAAAAAGTTAAACTTATTGGAGGGCCTGCACTAATAATGGGTAGCTAATGGAGAATTTTGGAAGACCTACAGTAACAAAGTCTGGAATTCCAAAAATCAGAAAGAACAGAAGTTATCCTTTATAAATGACAGTCTATGGGGGCAGCATAGCCTATCAGTTGGAGTATAGCCTCTGAAGCCAGCCTGAGTTTGAATTCTGGCTCTGCTGCTTCCTACTTCCAGCTTGTTTAAGTTACTTAACCTCTCTGTGGCTCAGTTTTCTCTGTAAATAGGAATAACAGTACCTAATCATAAGGGTTGGTATTAGGCTAGGGAAAGCTATGCTCTGATAACAAATAACTCCTCCAAATCTCACTAACTTAAAAACAAAGATTCATTTTATGCTCATGGAACATGTTCATTTATGGGTTGGCTAGGTGACAGCTCCATGTTTTTGTTATCCAGACTTCTATATCCAGGCTGAAGGAAGAGATATTCTCTGGAGCATTGTAAATGGCCATTAAGAGAGGGCTGGAGGGTATCATATTGGTAACTAGTTGGTAGGCCTAAACGTGACACATATCCTTTCTACTTAAAACTCACTAGCCAAAACTGGTCACTTGGTTATATCAAAAGACATCAGGGAGTGCAATCTTACTGAGCCCAGAATATTTGGCAAAGAGCACCAATGACTAATGAATTTCCTAAATGGGTTAGTATTTGTAAAACACTTAGAGCTAGACTTGGCACATAATAAGACCTATATATGTGTACTTACTAAATAAAATACATAGGGTATTTCTATGTATGGTCACAGTCAAAGCTAACTTTAATAAATGTCAACCATCTTATTTCTTTACATCATTCATTTCAGATAAAACATCCAAGGCTGAACTTTAGGTACTTTCATATACCCTTACTGCTGATAAGTATCATTTCTCTGTTTCCATAGGGAGAAGTGGAAAAAATACATGTTGTTTCCTCTTTTACCAGAAGGAGAGTTCAATGTTGATGATTGCTCAAACCATGAAATGTTAACAAAATTTCTCTGTTGGTTACTTGATTTCCTCATATATCTTTCTACCTAAACTACATCTCTAGAAATAATACTTCCCCATAACATAACCAACCTTAAAA